TTGGGCTCTTAGCCTATAAAGCTGTTAATTAGATAAACCCATTTGCCTTATCAAAACCCCAACCTCAGACATTTTTCCATAGCAACAGAAAACAGAAAAAAATAGAACTGCACTTATCAACACAGTCATAATTTTAAAAGTCAACATACCAGTCAAAACCTCACACAATATCCACAAAACTAGGTAAGTTGTTTCTCAAGATCATCTTAATGAAAAATAAATCATGTAAGAATAATAAAACAAAATACATAAGAAAATATGAAACACTGACAATGGGGGGACTTGTCTGATTCTCTAATAATTGGAATAGTTGGAAATAAAAGTAAGTTATCTTTATATAAATATGGATTTCAAAGAGATAAAAAATAAAGTTTTTAAGAGTAAAAGTGTGAGAGAAAATTATAAATACATTTATAAGCATGAAATTGGAAATATTTTCTAAGAGTAGACACCAAAATTACTCAGTATAATTAATCAAGTGTAAATTACATCCAAGTAAAAACAACTTCTGAAAAAGGAATACCACAATGGAAAAGGATGCAAGTTAGACACACAAATCACCATAAAATGTGAAGTATTTGTGTGGTTTAGTATAGTGCTTGAAGTCTTAGCTAGAGCAATAAGACAAGAAAAGAAATAGGAAAAGAGGAAGTCAAAGTATTCCTTTCTGCATATGACATGATTCTATACATAAGAGACCTTTAAGATTCTACCAAAAAAAAGCCTGATAAGTGTTTTTGCAAAGTAACAGGATACAAAATTAACACACAAAAATAAGTAGCTTTCATATGTATTTATGTATGTGTATATATACATATGACAAACATACTAAAAAAGAAGTCTGAAAAACAAAACAATTCATAATAGTCATAAAAATTAAAATAACTGGGAATAAATATAACTAAGGAAACCTTTAATTTTTTATTTGAAATTGTAAATTCTAGTTCTTTTTTTTCCAACTTTTTTATTTGAATTAGAAACAGGATTGTTTTACATGGCAACCCCAGTTCCCTTCTCCCACCCGTCCTCCCCTACCCCCCCCAACTAAAACCCTATCTGTCACATATCCTTTCTGCTTCCCCTGGATGGTGAAGCCTTCCATAGGATGTCATCAGTGTCTATTGTATCCTTTGGGATAGGGCCTAGGCCCATCCCCGTGTGTCTTGGCTCAGGTTGTATTCCTCTATATGGAATGGGCTCCCAAAGTCCACACCTTTGCTAGAGATAAATACTGATCTACTACAGGAGGTCCCGTAGATTTTTGAGGTTTCCTCACAGAAACCCACGTTCCTGGGATCTGGATCAGTCCCATGCTGGTATCCCAGCTATCAGACTGGGGAGCAAGAGTTCCCGGATGTTCTGAAAACTTCAATACACTGAAGAAAGAAATCAAGGTAGACACTAACAGATAGATAGACTACCCAGTTCATGGACCAGTGGAATCAATATTATCAAAATGGCAACCCTACTTGTGGTGATTTGAATGAGAATAGCTACCATAGGCTTACCAATCTGAATGTTTACTACCATTTAGTGGAACTTCTTGGGGAAGATTAGGAAGTGTGGCCTTGTTGGAGGATATATGTCACTGGGAGTGGGTTTTGAGGTTTCAAAAGCCTGTGCATGCCAGGCCCAGTGTCTCTCTCTGCCTACTGTATGTGAATATCAGGCTATAAAACTCTGGAGCTACTGCTCCAGTGCCATGTCTGTCTGCTCCTGCCATAGTGATCATGAACTAACCCTCTGAAACTGTAAGCAAGCCCTTGGTGAAATGCTCTCTTTTATAAGAGCTGCCTTGTTCATGGCATCTCTTCACTGCAATAGAACAGGAACTCGGATATTACCAAAGGCAATCCACAGATTAGGTTTAATGCAATCCCAATCAAAACACCAGACCCTTTCTTCACAGAAATTAAAAATAAAACTCAAAATGTATGTGGAAACACAAAAGACCAAGCCAAAGCAATGGTGAACAAAAGGAGGTATCACCATGCCTGATTGCAAGTTACACTACAGAGCCATAGCAATGAAAACAGCATGATACTGGCACAAAACATACACATAGATTGTTGGAATAGAATAGAGGAGCCATATACACTCTATGTGATTATAGCTATCTGATCTTTGACAAAGACACCAGAAAACAAACGAGGAAAAGACAGAAACTTTAACAAATAGTGCTGAGAAACCAGTTCTTCAACATAGAAGAAAATAAAACTCCATCCTTACCACCCTCCCTGCACCAAACTCACCCAATCAGAATGGCCCCCAGGAGCACAAGTGATGACAAATACTCCCATGGGTATGGGGAAAGGCAGATGCTTACAGGGTTGGTGGATGTACAAAGGAGTGAAGTCTCTTTGGAGATAAGTATGGAGATTTCTCAAACAATTAGAAATGGATCTATCATACGACCTAGCTCTACCACTCCTGGGCATTTACCTAAAGGTCTTTATATCCTACTAGAAATATACTTGTTCAGCATCTTCATTGCTGCTCTATTCACAGTAGCTAGTGAATAGAAACAACCTATATGTCCATAAACTGAAAAATGGGTAATGAAAAGGTGTCAGTGACACACAATGGAATATTACTCAGCTTTAAAAAAAGAAAAAGATAAATATAAAAGAAAATGAACAAAGGGAAAGGGAGCTGAGGGGGAGAAATGGGATGAACAGAAATGAAGGAGAGAGAGGGGAGAGGGAAATGAAGGGAGGAAATCTTTATTTCTGGTGAAGTCTTGCAAGCTACCTTGGATTTTTGAAGCAAGTTTTCAAATAAATGTTCTGGAAAGAACCTAGCTTCATTCACTTAAAGCAGATTCACATGAACTAATAAACTGGGTAATTGCTTACTTAAAGGCAGCAGACCTTTTTACATATGCTAATTGGTAGCAGTTGTCACTGCCAGCAGATTTAGTACATGACTCGAAGATATATGGGACACTTAGACATATATATTACACACACACACACACACACACACACACAGAGAGAGAGAGACAGAGAGAGAGAGAGAGAGAGGCACAGGAACACAAAGGATCTAATATTGTAGAGCCAAGAGATCATCTTTGTGGTTTGCATCCTCAGCCACTGTAACTTTTTTGTTTTCTTTGCCAAAATACATATTTATATTAGCAGTCATTTGTTTTCTTGAATTAATTTGCTTAAGGAGGGAAAGTGCACAACATTTTTGCAAATACATCATACCACGAAGCATAACACCTGCTCCAGGGGACAAGTGGCTGTTTCAAAGACCCCCCACATGGATTATCTCCCTTTAACATGTGCCTTAATACACAGGACTGTAAAAATACCTATCGCAAATGAAAAAAAAAAGTCACCTTTTAAAGGGCTTATCAAAACAATGTGTCTTAATGTTTAATACTATATGTTGTATGTGATAAAATTATCCTCTCTTTCATATTTCAAACAAGCAGCTCTTCTCTGTGAATCTCTTGATCCTGTGTGCAATTAAATCCAAGTTTGACTCTATCAAAGACATGATCTGAGTGCACAATAGAAAGGCATTAAAATTGCCAGAGGCGTCTTTGTGATAAGATCATTGAACACCGGAGATAAAAATGACAGCCTTTTCCAACACGGTGTTTGGTAGCCAAGATATTTGGAAAATGCAAACTCACCTCCTATCTGCCTGCAGGAAGGGAGGGCCAGCCTGGGGCCTTCACCTTCCTGACTTCCTAACTTCACAGTTAGCTGAGACCTAAGCCTGGCAGCAGATCAGGAACACATGGCTGCCAATTTACAGGGCAAGAAGTTTATATCAGGCCCTCTCATCATAAATTTGCTTTGGGGTACCAGGCACCTCTAGTTAAGGTGATCACAGAGACATAGCCCTAAAAATGGGCCGGGAATTGAAAAAGTGGTTTTTTTCCTAACTAAAGTCTAATCTAGTTCCTTGGGATCTTTCTCAGCTAGGCTCAACCTTGACTTGGGAGCAGTCGAATAGATAGTGTTACTCACAGTTCAAGGCCACGTGCCTGTGATGATGCACTTGACATGCTGCGCCCACCTGAGAAAACTCAAGGTATCCAAAGACCTATCTCTAGCTGATCATATCTGAAAATACCTCATCTTCCAGCCTTTGTGAAAAGGGAGGATCCTGCTTCTGGAAACTTCTTATATATACTTAGACATTTCCACATGGGCCAAGTGAAAAGACCCCTTGCTTTTCAATATCATTACCCTTTAAGTGTGAAATGTCCCCATAGGTGTAAGTGTTGAAAGCTTAGTCCCCAGCTGCTGCGGGTGCTAACTGAGGAGCTAGTAGACACTGTGGGCAGTAGAACCTAGCTAGAGAAAGTGGGACCCTGGAGGTCTACCATGCCCAGCCTCACCCTACCATGCCCTTGACTTTGGGTTGGCTGTGACATGAGCAGCTGCCCTCCACCACCCCGTCCTCCCACTGCATGACAATTGGGCCCGATGCATGGGGCCAAGTAGCTGCATCCTGAACACTAAAACAATAAACCATAATAATCCCCCCTCTTAAATGATTTCCAAGAAAAGTAACAAACACTATTGCTCTCTGTAACTTGTATACTCCCATGACTCAGTGTCCCACATAGTCACCCCCTCACACCCCTGTTATTATGTCTCAGAACCACAAAGTCTCAGTACATGTCCAAATAAGTGCAGTTCAGGCCCAACTCTAACAGATGCCTGACCACTGTAAGTGGGAACCAGCTTTCTTTATCTGACAGCACACATAGTCCAATATTTCAGACAGGACATGATGTGCATGGAGGTGGTCAATCACTCCTCTGTCCTTGCTTCCACATCTACACTACACCTCAGCCACAGTGTCTAAGATCTGTCCTCATGTGCATGACTTGACTCACAGGCCAGTGGCCCACAGAGCCCACAAGACTTGTACTATACTAGCAGGGCAAATGAGCCAACCAGCATTTGCATAGTAATGGAAGCAGGGACCCCTTACCTACCACATACCCACCTCAGAGACCCCAGTCACACTCTTACCTCTCATTTCTGTTGCTGAGGAGCCATTGGACCAGGCTGTCCACTTGTTCCTGTGCTTGCTGATTTCTTGTACTTTGCAGACATACTGCCCCTGATCTGCTGGCCGGAGTGTCAGGACAGACAGCCTGTATAGTACTCCCCGACGCTCCTCACGCAGGCGCAGCCTCTGCTGGTTGGCAATACGGCTGAAGTTCCCATAGTACTGAATCACCCGAAGCTTGGTCATCTTCACCATTAAGGCCTCCTGGGAGCCATCAGGGGCAAAGAACCAGCGCACAGCCAGCAAGCTGTCCTTCCGTCTCTTCTGGGAGACATGGCAGAGGAGAGTGGCATTTTCCCCTTCCAAGTAGTCAACCACAGGTCCTGGGGTCACAGTGACATTGAGAGCACCACATACCTCTGCAAATGAAAAGAGTAAAGGGAGAAAAGATAAATGAATGAAGGTGGCCTCCAGGCCATTGCCAGGAGCCAGGGATATGCTGATTCTGCTGACATCTAGATACTCTGTAAGGCCAGAGAGGCCATGGTCTCAGTGCTCTCTACACTCACTCCCCAGTCTCACTGTGACCAAAGGGATGGCTCTTCTATGGCCTCATGGGCACCCAAATTCTTACCTATGATGGTCTCTTTCACATGAGAGTGAAGCACTGGCCATCCAAACAGACATGTTCTAAAATGTCTTAATCTGCCACTAGCATTTGATTACATAAATGAATCAGGACTTTTGAAAACTCAGCTAATACCCCATCTTCTCCAGTAACCTCCCCAAGGAGTGTTTTAATCCAAGATGACAGGGCTGTGGGTCACAGCTGTTTAATGCAGGCTAGAGATTCAACCTGTGATATGTCTTGCTAACTAGGAGACTGAATCTGTCTCTCTCCCTACTCACTTTCTTAGTCTCAGTGAGTCCATCTCTAGGCAATAATGGTCAAGGAGAAGGCTACACTAGTGCTAGCAAGCTGGACCAACACTCGATTCTCAGTGGCTTCTTTGGAATCGGGATCTATGGTCTCAGAATTGAAGCACACAAAGTAAAATAAAAAGTGAAGGAATCTCTGCAACCAGAGGGATATGGGGCTTTCCCAATACCCTAGAAGATGCTTCAGAACTCCAGGTCTTGTCCACTACAACCTGCTCTTTGATTTCTTAGTTCAAACTAACCCAGAGGTAGCCCACATGTAGCTACAGTTCTACACCTGAGCTGACTGACCTTCTGTGGAGCACCCCAATACCCACCAGAGCACCCAGACTACCTGATCCTAAAGAAGCAGAACACTGTTGCCTTTTTCATGTACCACTTCCCACAGTGTACCATGGGTGATACAACACAGCCATGCCACCCTGAAGTTCATGGGAGGGGCCTTCTCAGCTGCAGGTGTCCTCGGAGCCCTTCTAAACCACAGCTTTCTGCAGGGTCCCAGGGTAGCACAGGAAATCACTTTTCAAGACATAAGTGCTTGAGAGACCTTACCGTGGACTGGAGGAAAGGCGGCCTTCTTGCTAGAAGAATCCAACTTAACACAGGCTATCACAGGTCATGACAAGGGTGCTCAAGTGACCTAGCCAAATGCTCTACAATAACAGTCATTGATTGAATGAACAGATCCATCCATTCATGAGGACAGGGTCCTAACCACCTCTTAAAAGCCCCATCTCTTAGTATCTCACAATGGAAATCCAATTTCAACCCGAGTTTCTGAGGGTAAGCCACATTCAACCCACAGCAGCCGTGCTCTTGGTTATTTTAAATAATTTAACATATGGAGAGTTATGTTCTGAGGATCACTGTTCTATCCTTTATCTGGTGCTCAACTCAGGACCCTCCAGAATAATATAAGAACTTTTACTCAGTTGTATCCATCAGTTCTGTTGGTCATGTAAGGTAACATTCCCAAGGAGGGTCGGGACAGTATATATTGGGAGGTATTTTTCAGCACCCATCTGACACCATGACAGCCTTTGGTTAGGGGAAAGGCAGCTGGGTGCTATGCATCTGTGTGAGGTCCCCAATCCTTTCTTTCCAGCAATGAGGGACCAAAACAGGCCAAGAATACATGAGAAATCCAAATCAACAGGTATCTGAGAAAGTCTACCTTAGGCTTAGGGACCTCAATTGTCATTTTACATGCCAAGGGGCACTCTGCACTGTTTGGGTTAAGTCAAACTCTTGGGTTGTTTGGGAGTGTCCTATGGGCTGCTCCCTGGCTTCCCCAGGGACAGTGCCTTGTTGTGAGAAGTCAACCACAGTGAACCAGACCAGTGGTCCACACCTCCTGTGTATCTCGCCCACCTGGCTGGCACCTGGCTCATGTGGACAGCACTTCCTCCTGATGGCTGAGGCTCATCTGGAGTGCAGATAGCCTCTTGTGGGAGTTCCCTAGTGAATAAGGAGGCATCTGAGACCCCTGGCTGACCCCATTCCATTAGCCACTGAGAACTGGACAGAAGAGAGAGCACCAAGCAGCAGCAGCTGGCTTACAGAATCCAAGGCCAGGCTGACCCACCCCCAAAGGCTCCCCACTGGAGCCAGAGGGGCTGGGAAGAGAGGGAACGGAAACAACATGGGTGGGATGAAAGCAGACTGAACCCTATGCTCCAGGCTCCCCCTGTTAACTCTACACGAAGAGGGGATTATTTATAGTGACTGAAAGGAGAGAATGTGCCAAGTGTTCCCCATGGGAGGCCAGATTCCATCCCAGAGGCAAATTTGTAACCCTTCCCCTCCTGTCCCCCTGTGACTCAGGCTCAAGCAGTCCCTGCTTTCCGGAAATGAAGGGACTGAGCTTAGAGGGCAGCAAAGGGACTCCTCAGAGTGTGCCCTCTTCTCTTAGCATTCCCTTCTGCCCTCCTTTCACCTCATGTTCTCTTACATATGGTCCAAACCCTGGTGTCTCCCATGGGAGTGCAAATACATTCATCATGGACTGAATTGTGAAGAACCCTAGGCTATTCATACATCAAAGTACTAGCCCCTACTACCTCCTAATGTGGGTATCTTTAGAGGTAAAGACTAAGTTAAATGAGAGCCTTAGGGTGTGCCCAGAGACAATGTGGCCCAATTTGACTGGTGGCCATATAAGAAGATACACATACAGAGGAAGACTGAACATACAGGAAGATGACACCACTGAAAGCCAAGCAGACAGAGACACCTTGGGGAACCCCCACCAACCACTCCACCCAACACCTTGATCTCAGATTTCACCCCTTTTTAGTCAATACATGTTTATTGATAAGCCACTTGGTGCGGTAGCAGGCAACTGCATACAGCCCTGTTGATGAAGGCTTACCCTAACCCTTCACCTGCCACTGGCCCTGATCCTTGCTAACACACAAAAAAGTGGGGAGATATTTAACCTGAGATGGCAAAGCACCTCAGGCTCTGTCAGAAAAGCTTTGCTGAAAAGTCACAGGCTCTCAGAAATGGGGTTCTCTGTCAAAGCCAGGTGCCATGAGCAAGCACCCTCCAGCACTGGAGCTGAGTTGAAGGTTCCTTGTGCCAACCAAGCATATACATATGGGAGCTCAGCTCATGAGCAGACAGACGGCTGGAACGTGGGCCCAGAAGGGAAGGACAAGCATAGACAAGCACAGACTTTTTTAAGTTAAGGCTATTCTTTCAATACTTGTAGAGAGAAGCTTGAACTGTTTCTGTCCCACCATGGTCATTGTGTCCCCTTTGGCTCAGTATAAAGGGGGGAAAAGCATTAGGAGGTGTTATGATAAAGCTTGTGGGGGGACCTTGCATGTGGGACTTTGTTGAAATTCCATGGCAGGTGGGGGTGACCGAGATGGAGGGACAAACATGCCAGGCAGACAGAGCTTAAGTGAGACGTTTTATTAGAAAGGGGAAGGAGGGGAAAGGAAAGAGAAAAGAGGTAAAAAGACACAGAGACAGAGAGAGGACTGAAGAGAAGAGGAAGACAGGAAAAGTCCTGTCTGCCCCAGGGGAATCTCGGGGAAAGAGAGCATAATTTGGCAGGGGTCTGTCTTTTAAAGGGGTCCTTTGCACCTGTGTGCAGACTATGCAACCATGGAACCCTGGGCTGACCAGGGTGCTGCCTGAGTGCATTCTGCCAGGAGACAGGGGCAGGCCAGCCTAATGTCTGAATCCTTACAGGAGGCATGACTGAGGTGGGGCCAACAGGGTGGGTAGACATACAGGCCAGACAGACTGAATGGCAGAACATGTACAACCTGTGGGCAGGAAAGGAACACTGAGTAAATGCTGGCTCAGCATGAGGCATCGCACAGGGTAGACGCCACTCTTCATCCTGCTGACATAATGTAGCCACCAGGCAGGGCTGACCCGCAATCCCTGACCCAAAAACCTGTCACATTAGCCTGAAGCAGAAGGCAAATGTTTGCTTTATGAACATCCACTGCAGAAAACTAAGGTGAGAAGTAGGCTACCCCCACACTGCACATCCTCACTCAGAGTTTCTACCTCCCCCTTGTCTCCACTGCCTCTATTGACCTTATGGAGCTCATAGCCTAGTGGGCGAGAGAGCTTCTCATCAGCACAAGGGAGTGGGGTGTAACTACAGTGTCACTGGCCATGGGGGAAACATGCAGGGTTTAAGGAATTCCTGGAAGAACCCTGGCCTTGGGGTTAAAGAGACCCAAGAATATGGCCATGAGATGAAGGCTATCTTGAAATCAATGAAGCAAAAACTCAACAGCCAAGAATGACCCCCCAAGGGATAGGGTCTCATTATGCAGAGTCCCTGAGGCAGGAAGAACCAGGTGCAGGCTGGAACTGGAAAGATGGCTATCCCTTTGTGAACTTTGTCCCACTATGGCCTAGACTGACGCCCCTTCCTGCTCATAGTCCTCTGGCAGGGACTCTTTATCCCAATCAAAAGCCAGTTCTTAAAAGAGGAAGGTGACAATGGAAGACATTGATCCAAACAGAAGGACAAGACTCCCACAGCTCTCTTCGAGGAAGCCTGTGGAGCTCCAGATGGCAATTGGGGAACCAAAAAATAAAATTAATAAATGTTTAAAATCTTAGGCTCTGAAAAGGGAACTTTTAATGGTAAAGGAAAATTTAACTCCTTAAATCAGGAGTGCCATGGCTGGAGCCTGATTCCCTGCTCTCAGAGAAAGGGAGATAACTGTCCACCACTCCTATTAATATTCCTTTGCTAATTGCTGACCGTAAAGATCCTCCAACCCAGGGGATAACTGACAGACCCTGTGACCCTGTAACCCTATAAGCCCATGCCCTGTCTTATCTCACTCAAATGTATCTCACTTAAAATATATAGCTACTGCTTTACTCTGTACTTTGTATGGCCTTAAGTAACCATGGAAACTCTGAAATTTGTGGCCTTCAAACTTATGGTCTGCCCCTTTAAAAGCTTCTCTTTTTGGCAGGTTGGCATCTCATTTGCCCACCATGCAGTGAGATCCTACCTGGCCAGCTTGAAATAAAAAGAAACCTTTGCTTTTGCATCACAGTGTCAACTCCTTGGGTTAGTCTCTGGGATCCACAAACCTGACACAACAGCAATGTCTTCTCCTGAAGCAGCCCTCAGGTGCAGGGAGCAAGGGCTTCACCCCACCACCACCCACTCAACGCAGAAGCAGTCACAGTTCTGAGCACACCAGGAAGATGAGTATGGTACTAAGTATGGCCTGCCTTCCTCTCTGCCTAAAGAAATGCTCCACTCAATTCCAGGAGCCAGGAACTCCTCAATGACAGCAAAGTGATGTCTGATTCAGGACAGCAGAACTCTGGAGAAGTACACTGCCTTTCATGAATGTTTGCAGCATCACATGGGTTGCTGAGAAGCTCCAAGCAGAGGGGCCTCTAGACCTAGCCCACACAGCACTCACTGTGAGCCAAAATTGGCACCTAAAATTACAGAGGTGGGCATCTGCTCAAGTGGACTTCAGGCCTAACACAGTTCTAAGGCAATCAGAAGTATTTTTTCAATTTATCTTCACCAGCTGCCAATTCTCATTTTACAGACAAGACTGAGGGCCCAGTGAAGCTGAGCAATTTGTTCAAGCTCACACAGCACATAGCCTGGATGAAATTCAAACCTGGGAGATCTGACTTCAAATGGCCTGGATTTGTGGCTACTTGGACTGGCAGGGGTTGTTGTTGTTGTTGTTGTTGTTGTTGTTGTTGTTGTTTCTGTAAAATGAATTTTAGGATTGGGTGGTCAACAAACTCCCATTCTACCCCCTAAATGGAGGTGGAAGACTGAAGCAGGAGTGTGGGTTTACACATTAAGCAGATATGCTGGGCCTTTCCTTGCAAATGAAGATGAGGATCTTGGAGGAGACATTTAAACAAGTAGATGACAGGCCCTGGGTGAAGGCCACACAAGCAGGAGCTACTGGGTGGCCCTAGGTACGTCCAGGACAGAATCTAAAGGATTCTATTCTGCTTTTCAGGGCTGTACCTCTGTTCTTCGTTTTTTAAAAATGGGGACAAAACCGCACAACCCTCAGAGACTGGTGGGCTGATAAATTGCGCCAATGTTTTGTGAAGTACTTGGATCAATAAATACTTGAGGTTCTTACTTTGTGATTAAATGAGGTGGTGTGCCCCTGGCACTGGTAGTAGTCGCCTGGGAAATGGGAGCCACTAATGTATCTATGCCTATTATTCCAGCCAGCACGGTCCTAGGGAACCAAGAGAAGGCTCTTCAGCGACTCTAAGTGGGAACCGTGAAGCTCCAGGCAAGCCAGCAGTGTTTGTGTGAGAGGACCCGGCTGGTTGAAGCCTAGGACACCCTCTCTAACCAGGTCTGAGCATCTCAGAAGACCCAAGTGTAAGTTCTCAGTGCCCAGGATCGGGTCGCTCCTGGCCTCATTTCGGAGTGTCTCCAGAGATAGTTAAAGGGAAGTTGATGGTGGGGGCAGCCGCGGGTCCCGCCTGCTACGGAAGACAGAAAGAAGCCGCCAACTTAGGGCTCCGATCTGGCTGACTTCTCCCTGTGCTCCGCGGCCTGCGGCTCGGAAGGGACCCGGAGCTGTCCCGAGAGCGGGTCCCCATCACGGGACGCCGGCAGGACCA